TCGCAGCTGGTCTGGCTGAGCGGCTGTCCGCCCCTCTCTATTAGGAGCGAGTGCTCCAAGTACGGCGAGGTGGCTGCCGGTGGTGGCGCACGAGGGGACCCGAGAGGGCCCGAGAGGACCCGAGAGGACCCGAGAGTAGGTTGTCGACGTGCTTGTGCACGAGCTAGCCGCGGGCGCCACCGGCGCGGGCGGCGCGCCGCTGGCCGAGGAGCAGCGCGTGCGTGTCTTCGTCAAGTTCTCGAAGCCGGGCGCCGCGATGAAGGCGCACACCGCGCTCACCCACGCGCACCGGGCCTTGCACTTTTAATGCCGTGGGGCTCCTGTCGTCTAGACGTGGAGACGCGAGGGTCGCCCCCACCACCTCGTGTGTGTAGAGAAGTTTACCGGACACTACCTCACCTGAAGGCGTACATCGGGCTTGACGGGCGCTACTTTGGCGGGCGGCACATCTGGGTCTGCTTCTTCAAGGAGGCGGACTTCGACGGGCGCAGCCTCGACCCGTCGCCTTCGGAGCCAAAGTAGCAGCCACTCTTCCGCCGCCCCCTCTCCGCCCCTAGATGTGTGCAGGGCAGGGCGCTCGGTTAGCCGCCATCGTCTGCGTCTCGAGTCCGGGCTGCTGTGCTGTGTGCAGTCTCACCACAGTCCACGGCCAGGCACCCCGGCGCGGCCCAGGGTTGTCGCCGCCGATCTAGAGCATTTCTCAAAATCTATCAAAACAATTTCTCTCGCTAGTGCCTAAGACGACTGGCTCCTCGCCCATCCCTCCCTTGACGTGCCTGTGTTTTCTTTCTCCTTTCTCCGCCGCGGAAAAAGTATTTTAGTGCGACACACCTCAGATCGGTAGCTCTAGGGACTAGCGCTTCCGCTTGGCCAGCCCTCCCACCCCATCCGGATCTTGGCCTCTCCCGAGTCGGTCGCACTCCTATATCAGCCACGCGCCCCTCGCCCCCCTCTCACTCCTGCGACCACACCTCGATCTTCTTGGGCAGCAGGTGGTTCGACAGGTGCTCTCCGTGGCCAAGGCAGCCGTCCTCGCCCGCGCCCCAGGTAAAGACGGCGCCGTCGGCGGTAATGGCGAGGCAGTGGTAAGCTCCCGCCAGCACGGCAACGACGCGCTGGCCAGCAAAGGCCTCGACCTTCTTGGGCAGTAGCTGGTTCTGCTCGTCGCCGTGGCCCAGCTTGCCAAAGTATCCATCGCCCCAGCTCCAGACAGCGCCGTCGGCGGTGAGGGCGAGGCTATGGAAGTATCCAGCCAACACAGCGACGACGCGCTGCCCAGCCAGAGCCTCGATCTTCTTGGGCAGCAGCTGGTTCTGAATGTTGCCGTGGCCCAGCTTGCCATAGCCTCCCCGGCCCCAGCTCCAGACGGCGCCGTCAGCGGTGAGGGCGAGGCTGTGGTTATCTCCAGCCGACACAGCGAGGACACGTTGCCCCGCCAACGCCTCGACCTTCTTGGGCAGCAGCTGGCGTTGCCGGTCGCCGTGGCCCAGCTGGCCATCGTCTCCCCAGCCCCAGCTCCAGACGGCGCCGTCGGCGGTGATGGTGAGGCTGTGGTACTCTCCAGCCGACACAGCGACGACGCGGTGCCCAGTGAAGGCCACGATCTTCTTCGGCAGCGGCTGGCTCTGCTCGTCGCCGTGGCCCAGCACGCCATCGACTCCCCAGCCCCAGCTCCAGAGCGCGCCATCGGCGGTGACGGCGAGGCTGTGGAAGCCTTCAGCCGACACAGCGACGACGCGCAGGCCAGCCAAGGCCTCGATCTTCTTCGGCAGCAGCTGGTGCTGCTCGTCGCCGTGGCCCAGCTTGCCGCCCCCGCCGCTGCCCCAGGACCAAAGGGCGCCGTCCGCGGAGAGAGCGAGGCTGAAGTATCGTGACGCCGCCACACCAATCGCGCGCTCGCCGCCAAGCGGGGAAGGGAGACGGGTCGGCGTCTTCAGCTGCAGCACGCCCTCGCCGTGGCCGAGAAGGCCTGGAAACTCCTCCCCGTCCTCCTCTTCGTCCTCCTCGCCCTCCGCTGCCGCGCCGCACGACGAGAGCCGCCCCTCGCCGTCGATGAAGAGGCTGTGCCGTGCGCCCGCCGCCAGCCTCGCCGGCGGGTTGGCCTCGCACAGCAAGGCATAGAAGCACAGCCACCGCACGGCGCAGCCCTCGTCCTCCGGCTGCGCCGGCAGCTCGAAGCCGCGCTCTTGCAGGCGCAAGCGGATGCCCTCCAGCGCAAGCGAGGCGTGGAAGAGGAGCGAGACGGCCGCGACGCGAGCGATGTCGGCGGGTTCGCAGCGGGAGATGACGCGCGCGAGAAGCTCGAGGGGCAGGTCGGTGAGGGGGCAGTGTGCGGCGGCGGCGGCGGCGGAGGCGAGGCGGCGCGAGCGGCGCCGCGGGGCAAACACCGCGAGGAGAAGAAACACAAATCCCGCAAGTGCTCCAAGTGCTCCAAGTGCTCCAAGACACATGTACACGGGAGCCGCCTAAGCGACTCCTGCGAGGGCGGCTAGGCCCGCGCGTCGCGCGGCGCCGACGCGCCTCAACACCTCGCCGGGCGAACCTGTTGAACCGAACCTCGACGGCGAGGAGGACGCGGCGAACGAGCCCGCGGGCGCGGCCCGAGGCTGACGAGCGGTTGGAGGAGGCGACTTTGTAGCGGAGGAGAGGCGCAGACGTCTCGCATCACACTGTATTTTGATGATACTCTATCATGCGTCAGCCGGCAGCGCGCGCCCCTTCGGCCCGCTCACTTGGACGGCCTGCGGTCCTTTGTCGCCTTGGGCGATCCTGAACTCGACGTCCCAGCGAAGGAGCTGGTTGAGCTGCTGCTTCTTGCCGGCGGCGCGCTCCATCTTCACCTCTTTGATGTGAAAGAAAATCGTCTTTCTGCCACTGCCAGGCTTGATGAAGCCAAAGCCCTTCTCATTCCACTTCTCGACGG